AGAGCATCCCTTAGAGCAGTATACAACTTCAAAGACGGATGATACGTAATGCTATGCTGAGCGACAGGCTCTTTCCCTAGTGTATGTATCCTACGGGGGAGTTCGGGAATATTCTGCAAAAAAATCAAAGAAAACCATCTCAAACACACAACCATCCAGTATAACCTTTTAAATTATAAGTCTGGAAGACTTTCCAGACGACTTATAACTAAGTCGTCTGTCAAGTCTTCCAGTCGAAAGACTTATAATTAAGTCGTCTGGAAAGTCTTCCACCTGGAAGACTTTCCAGACGACTTAATATAAGTCTACCAAGACTTCCAGTATAACATTTGAAAGCAGACCTGACAATTCGGACATGTACTCGCCTTCGACATAGCGGTTATAGAACTGCAAAAATAGACGTGAAAAAAGAAGCGCGATGAGAACGACGGTAACCGTAAAATATCCCCAATCTTTGAAACCCTAATTTGAAATGAAAATATCCACAACATCCAACCTAACTAAACAACAAATCGATTGAAATCCCCAATTTTTGAAACCCTAATTTGAAACCAAAATTTCCCGAAATCATTGAAAACTCAAAACCAAACGGTAAAAGTAAAGGAAAACAACATCCATCCTAATAAAAACCCATTAAATCGGCAAGAGAAGCCTTCGATTTACCTTGGTCTTGTATCGGATCAAAATCGCCTCGAAATCGCCTCGAAATCACCTTTGAGAGAAACGGAGTTAGGGTTTTCTGAATTTCGCGAAAAGTGCGTAAAAAAGAAAAAATCTTCTTATATATGTCCGGTAAAAAATCCGGTTAGGTTTAAAAGTAATTCGGTAAAATCCGGTTTGGACGACTTATTATTAAGTGGTCTGTTGATACTATACATCCGAAAGTCGTCTGCCTTATTAAATATTTTTACCAGACGACTTAATTATAAGTCGTCCAGACCCTAAACCCTAAACCCTAAACTAAATTGACTAAATTAACTACTAACCATGTTATAAAATCAAATTATACTTAAATAGAGTCTACTATATATAGAAATAAACACACTTTGCTAAATTTTTAATTTTTCAAAAAAACATTTATGCTTTCGAAAATCTGACCCTAAGAAACACATACAATACTACAACATATGTTGGCAAACCCAAANTTGTGTTAGACTTCTTAGACGACTAATAATTAAAATTGGTGTTACCATGGTTTGTACATAGAGGACAAAAGGAGTTGTAGTTATAAAAGTTGATCATCCATTACAAGTCATAGGTTTAAAAACAATTTGAAACAAGGGAACAACAACATAGAAGTCATCCATTACAAGTCCATTAGAAGCAGATTACAATAAGACGATATCAAGACAAACATCCATCATTTAGGAAGAGACGAGGAAGTTGAGGCACCATCCGCAGCATCATCCCCTTGAGGAGGTGTATACTGAATCTTAGTAAACTAGGACCGCAAGGAGTCACATGAAATACCATGTCTCCTTTTTTTTTGAACACGAGAATGTCACCGATGCAAAGGGAGTGTGCTTGGGCGAAGGCTTCCCAACCATCGGTGAGTCTTCTTCCTTCTTGTATAACTTCCCAAGTTTGGTGTGAAGCGTCCGATCGTAGTGTCCATTTTCCTTGGTTCGGCGTGTCTTCTATGTGTTTTGCATAGAAGACAAGTGGTATTGTCTACAAGTCAACAAAGGAGAAGATAAGCAAAGGAAATAAACAGAGGAGAAATAGAGAGCGTGTGTATACCACGCCACTGTAGAAACCAGGAAGCAGAGGCTTCAAGAATTGAGGTTCATGCTGATTCGCCATCTCCAAACAAGAAACGAATTGGAAACATTTTAATTCTAAGTCGTCTGGGTCGTCCACCTGGTAGACTTATAATTAAGTCGTCTGGAAGTCTGGAAAGTCTTCCAGACTTTCCAGACGACTTAATTATAAGTCTACCAAGACTTCCAGTAGAACTTCCAGGTGGACGACCCTAAAATGACCGTAAAATGAGAGGAAAACAACATCCAACCTAACTAAACAACAAGTCGATTGAAATCCCCAATTTTTGAAACCCTAATTTGAAACCAAAATTACCCCAAATCGTTGAAAACACAAAACCAAACNGATTGAAATCCCCAATTTTTGAAACCCTAATTTGAAACCAAAATTACCCCAAATCGTTGAAAACACAAAACCAAACGGTAAAAGTTAAGGAAAACAACATCCATCCTAATAAAAACCCATAAATCTGCAAGAGAAGCCTTCGATTTACCTTGGTCTTGTATCGGAGCGAAATCGCCTCGAAATCACCTTTGAGAGAAACAACGTTAGGGTTTTCTGAATTTCGCGAAAAGTGCGTAAAAAAAAAAATCTTCTTATATATGTTCGGTCAAAAATCCGGTTAGGTGAAAAAGTAATTTGGTAAAATCCGGTTTGGACGACTTATTATTAAGTCGTCTGTTGATACTATACATCCGACTAAGTCGTCTGCCTTATTAAATATATTTACCAGACGACTTAATTATAAGTCGTCCAGACCCTAAAACATATGTTGGTGAAACCTAAACTAAAGAATATCATTACTCACTACTTTCACTCATCTATGCTGAAAACAAGTGACTTTTTTTATATCTTAATTTATATCGCTTAAGACATATGTTAATTACAGAATCCCAATTTTTCATTTATCAGGATATTTATTACACAATTTTTAAATTATTTTTAAGAAAAACTGTCCCAGACGACTTACAATGGACGACTTAGTTTAAAGCCGTCTTGGCAGACGACTTTCAATTAAGTCGTCTGGGCAGACGACTTTCAGTTAAGTCGTCTCGACGACTTTCAATTAAGTCGTCTGGGCAGACGACTTTCAGTTAAGTCGTCTCGACGACTTAGTTTAAAGTCGTCTGGGCAGACGACTTGCGAGGGCTAGAAACGTAAAAAAAAAACTCTTTTTTTGTTTGTTCACAAGGGGTTGGTTGTAATTTCAACAGCCTTTTAAGTTACTTTTGCATTTGATTCAAGTTTGGGTTTACTTTTGCATTTCAAATCAAGTTTTGAGTCATATTTGGCAATTTTCCCATTAATGTTTCTAATAATAACTATTTGATAACAATTTGTATATCCTCCATCATTTTTCTTTAATTTTATATTATTAAAATTAATCAAAAAATCAAATTAGCTATAAAATTAAACTTTAGATTTTTTCCGTATATGTTATATTTTGAATTTAAAAAAACAAGAATAAATGACTAAAACTATTAAAATTATTATGTTAAAAATTAATGATCAATAGTTTAACATTTTTATTATAAAAAGATACACATGATTTTAAACCATATGAGTAAAAAGTATCATTCAATAATAAATATATATATTAAACTATATACCATATAAGATTACATAGTTATTTTAATTTCAAAAATTTCAATGAATTTTCAAGAACATCTATAAATTATAAACGTATTAAATTTTTCACATTGAAATTTTTTGTTATCAATGATTTAAATATATTAGTTCTTTTTTTTAATTTTTTATTTTTTAAAGATATTAACACAATCGATAATATGGTTATTTTTAGTATATACCATACAAACCGAATGTATGTGATTTTATAAAAACCGTAAGATTTAGATATGGTTTGATTTATAATTGATTAAACTGAAACAAGTAAATATGTATATCTATTTGTTACATGAATTGAACTATAATTATGATTTGTAAATCACTTGAATCACTTGAAATATAATTAACTAACAATTAAATGCAACTGAGGCTTCTTATTTTCTTCGTCTTTTTTTTGATTAAACTATATACCATATAAGATTACATACTTATTTTAATTTCAAAAATTTCAATGAATTTTCAAGAACATTTATAAATTATAAACGTATTAAATTTTTCACATTGAAATTTTTTGTTATCAATGATTTAAATATATTAGTTCTTTTTTTTTTTAATTTTCTATTTTTTAAAGATATTAACACAATCGATAATATGGTTATTTTTGGTATATACCATACAAACCGAATGTATGTGATTTTATAAAAACCGTAAGATTTGGATATGGTTTGATTTATAATCGATTAAACTGAAACATGTAAATATGTATNTTTTTAAAGATATTAACACAATCGATAATATGGTTATTTTTGGTATATACCATACAAACCGAATGTATGTGATTTTATAAAAACCGTAAGATTTGGATATGGTTTGATTTATAATCGATTAAACTGAAACATGTAAATATGTATATCTATTTGTTACATGAGTTGAACTATAATTATGATTTGTAAATCACTTGAATCATTTGAAATATAATTAACTAACAATTTAATGCAACTGAGGCTTCTTATTTTCTTCGTCTTTTTTATTCTTTTAGTTAAATATATAATATTTTTTTTAGTAAATGACTTTTTGACAATATGACTCTAAATATAATCATATTATTTATTTTATAATATATAATATGATTTCAAACTAAATAATGATGTATTTTGGTATAAAATTGAATAAACTGAAAACCAATATATAAACCAAATCAAACTGCAAGTAAATATGGATTTAAAATAGTAGTTATATTTTAATAACCAAAATACTGAAACCCGATATCCAGATTGAACATCCTTAATCTAGATGAAACCGAACTTTGTTTCATTTTCCAAAACATAATAAAAATAATAACTTCATCCCGCGGGTCTTATCATCCCGCGGGTCTTATCCTAGTGTAGTTATATTTTTCATTTTTCAGTCTCTTATAAAATATAGAACAAATCATCTCTTAATTAAAAGGTTACACGTTGTCAAAAAAAAAAAAAAAATTAAAAGGTTACACAAAAAAAGAAGGTCGGTTCAGAGAAGACCACGTGATACACGTGCGAGAAGCAATACTTTTTTTTTTTTTTTCCTTTGGTCAAATTCTAATTGTTACGCGTTAAATCTGTGTCAAACCAAAGAGCAACCTAACCATTCATTAATTTAAGGAGGAAAAATCTTTGAAAACCCTAAAAAAGTCTTTGAAAGCAATAATCGCTAGGCAAGCCAACCAAATCAAAAAGTGAAGCTTTCTTCTTCTTAGCCCCAAAGAAAAAAAGGAAGACGCAATCAAATACTCAAAGGTCTATGTATAATCTCCTTCTGATTCAATACAGAGCTTGTGATTGTTTTTTATGGGTTTCGAAAATTTCTGTCGGCGGCTTTCACTTTCTTTGTTGTTTAAACCCTAGATATATCAATCGATTCTGATATTTTTCCTTGTTTCAGGTGCTGAGATGTGTCTGTTGATTTCTTCTGGTCTATGGGTTCCTGCGACATTCTGAGTGTGTTGTTCGGTTTAGGCGTTTGGTGCATTGCTTATATATCAGTCGCCATCGTTGCTTCTTTTAGAATCCTTCACTCTCTTTGTTCTATTTGAGTTTTTTTTTTTTCTGGAAGATTTTGCTTTGTTACAATGGGTTACGCTCAGCTCGTTATCGGTCCAGCAGGCAGCGGAAAGGTCATCTTTATATGGTCTTCTCATATCAATTTTGTTCTGTGAGATTTTGTCTAATGCGTTTTTGGTTTTTTTTTTTTTTGCATCAGTCAACTTATTGCTCATCTTTGTATGAACACTGTGAAACCGTCGGCAGAACAATGCATGTTGTTAACTTGGATCCTGCTGCTGAAATCTTTAATTATCCTGTGGCTATGGGTGAGTTATTCAGTCAATCCCTTGGTGGGGTTTTAGTGCCTCTTAACTTTCTTGGTTTCACTAAATCTAATGCTTTTCTTTTTGCTGTTTGTAGATATAAGAGAACTTGTTTCTTTGGAAGGTGTTATGGAGGAGTTTGGGCTTGGTCCTAATGGTGCCCTCATGTACTGCATGGAGTATCCTTTTTGTTGTTACATACATTGTCATAAAATGAGAATTAAACTACAGCCATGTCCTGTCTTAATGCTGTTGCCTTAATATGTTGGAAAATTCCATGGAGAATTCTTAACTTCTAATCCATAGATACCTTGAGGATAGCTTACATGATTGGGTGGATGAAGAATTGGAGAACTACAGGGACGATGATTACCTTATATTTGATTGTCCAGGTGCATACATGATCAATAAGTTTGGCGTTTGCGAATTTGAAGCATCCCAAGTGTGTTTTTATCTCTAAATTCTTGTAAAATGTATGCTGTTAATAGGCCAGATAGAACTGTTTACACATGTTCCTGTGCTCAAGAACTTTGTGGCGCATTTGCAACAGAAGAACTTCAACGTCTGTGTTGTTTATCTACTTGATTCACAGGTTTTGTATCAATTTCTGTTTCTTTTTCCCTACCTACTACCATTGTAGTGAAGAACCAACTTGCGTTGATAAAATGATATATCTTGTTGGAGCAGTTCATAACAGATGTCACCAAGTTTATCAGCGGTTGCATGTCGTCTCTCTCTGCAATGATCCAGCTTGAATTACCACACGTCAACATCCTCTCAAAGATGGATCTCTTGCAGGATAAAAGCAACATTGATAAGTATGGATTCCTTTCTTTTTCGTTTTCCGTTGTTGCTGTTTCTAGTTAAGTAAATTTTGCGTTGGGTTTATCATGAATTTAGCTACTTGGATCCGGAGCCTCGCACATTGTTGGCAGAGTTAAACCAAAAGATGGGTCCCCGGTATGCGAAATTGAACAAAGCCCTGATTGAGATGGTATGTAAAATGGTTTTAATCAAATATTTGATCATAAAGCAAATGTGTAATTAATTTTCATGATTGCGTTTTTTGGGTGTGGTTGTTATTATTAGGTGGGAGAATATGGGATGGTTAATTTCATACCCCTTGACATAAGGAAAGAACGAAGGTAATATACTATTTTGCTCCCTATCAACTCTGATCCAATACTAAAGCTAATATCGATAATGTTTTCTTTGGGCAGTATTCAGTATGTTCTGTCCCAGATTGATGTCTGCATCCAGTTTGGAGAAGACGCTGACGTTAAGATCAAAGATGAGGATGAAGATTTTGGTGATGATCAGTAATTTGTTACTCTGTTTCGCAAACATTTCTCTTAAACTTCTAAACAATCTTGGTCTTGTCAAAGACCATTGAGTTTGTGAGAACTATTTTATTGCTGAATATCAAACCTTAACCAGTGAGAGATTTTCAACTCTTCGGTATTTCTCTAAGCAGACACTAGTACCAAATCAGCTACAGTTGATCTTGTCTTCTTTAACCAAAAAAATTTCAAGATTAATAATCAACATCTAAGTTCGCAAGAAAACTAAAGCTTAGTTAGGAATATTAAATCTTTCTTATCTGCAACACAATGAATAATCAGCCATCACCTCGTTGCTTTTCTTTTACTTGGTCAAGTCCAAAACGTAGAGGATTGATCATGAGGTTATAGGATTGTAATGATCAAATTTGTAAGTGTTTGAAACGTTGGATTTGTCGGAGATTTAAGTGAATCATTGCAACTGTTTAAGTAAACAATTGCAATTGTTTGAACCATTGTTCGGTGATTGTAAATTTTGATAATGAACCATTGAATTTAGTAATGAACAATTCCATTATTTAGTGATGAACCACGTGGAATCCTTTGCTAATCATTGCTATGATTGGTTGTTAACTATTACAATATCTCTCCATATACGGAGTTGTAAGCATTGGCAAATTACAAATACAATCACAAGAAATCACAACTAAATTGGTAGAACGAAAGAAAGACAGCTACTGTTTCAAACAAATAAACAATCATCAAACAATAGAATAAGACATAATTTTATATAAAAGTTATTTAGAAAATATTATATGAAAAATAAATTTATATTCTTAATTGAATTAATATTTTGGTCTTTAAACAATTTTTTTTTACTTTTTTTTGTTCATTATTTGTTTACTAATAAGCTGATCTTACTTTTAAAAAAATTTTTAGGTCAAAATATCACTTACCGCAAAGAACCTAACGTTTAGGTCAAAAAATCTTAGGTCTATTTGGTTACAAATAAGGCTTATTAGAATAAGTTTTTGGTAGTAAAAACAGATATGAGCAAAACATATGATAGAATAGAATGAAGATTTATACAAGCAGTACTTGCAAAGATGGGGTTTGACTCTTGGTGGGTTCAATTGATGATGAAATGTATATCTTCAGTTCGGTATAAAGTTTTATTAAATGGAGAACCAAAAGAGCTCATTATCCCACAAAGAGGTTTTAGGCAAGGTGACTCACTTTCTCCATTCGTGTTCATTATATGCACGAGAACGTTTATTGGTAACATTAAGAAAGAAGTGAGGATAAAACAATTAACATGATTAAAAGTCACAAGGACATGCCCACCCATATCTCATCTGCGCCGACAGTCTTTTTTCGGTAAAGCACATATAGAGAACTGTCAGACTACTTTTTGAATTTTGAAGGATTATGAGATAATATCTAGTTAACATATTAATTTTCAGAAATCCAGTTCGGCCACAAGATAGCAAGACAACTCGGCAAGACCTACATAACACATTAGGCATCCAAATTATTAGAGGGATGAGATCTTATTTGGAAATCTTAGAAAGTCTTAGAGGTTAAAACACACACACATTTTTTTTTTGTTCAGGAAAGATTCTATAACCATGTTAATGGATGGACATTCAATTTGTTTCCAAAAGGAAGCAAAGAGGTGCTCATAACATCTGTGGTCACAACCCTTCCAAACTACGTCATGTCTTGTCATGTCTTGTCATGTCTTGTTATAGAAATTCAAAGATAGTGACGAAGAAATTGACTAGTGGAGTTGCCCAATTTTGGTGGAGCTAAGGTGGAAATGTAAGAGATAAACATTGGAAATCATGGGATAAATTGTGTCAGCACAAGGATGATGGAGGATTTGGATTTAAAGAATTTCAACACGGTAATGTTAGGGAAACAGTTTTGGCGACTGAAAGAGAGGCCAAACACTTTATTTGCTTGAGTTTTCAAAGGTCGGTATTTCATAAAAGTATCACCTTTAGAAGTGATTAGATCGTACCCACCTTATTATGGATATCATAGTATCGTATCAGCTAGATCAATGGTTAGCAAAAGACTAATCAAAAGGGTAGGAACATGATCTTCCATTTCAAGGAATGACGGTTAGATCCCAACCACTCACCTAAAACCAACAAATATTGAATCAAACAACCTTTTTCCTGATTTTACAATGGATCATCTTATTAATACGACAACAAGGACTTGGAACACTCATGTTATTGATGAATTGGTTGATTAGGAGGATGCAAAGATAATTTAGAGTTCACCTTTGAGTCAATACCAGAGTATTGATCGAGATGGTTGGCATTATACAAAAAATGACCAATAGACGATGAAACCTAGTTATCAAGTGGAGCGAATGAATCCTGACACTATCAGGACACAACGAGTTATCGGGCCCACAACCACAGTGTTGAAGGCATATTCTTGAAAAATAAGTTGTCCTCCCAATATTAGGCATTTCTTATGGCAAATTGTTTCTGGTTGTTTATCGGTAAAGGAACATATATTCACGAGTTATTCAATGTGAGTTGCAGTGTGCGAGGTGCGAGGCAGAGGGGGAAACCCCAAATCATAATATGTTTGAGTGTCTTCCGGTTGTGAAAATATGGGCCGTATCATCGGTTCCTACGAACCCAAGTAACTTGCCCTTGCAATCAATATACGCCAATATGGATTATTGGTTCTGGAGAATATCATCACAAGTGGACAATCATCACTTTGTATGGATTTTATGGTATATTTTGAAAATGCAGGAATGATGTGGTTTTCATCAACATGACATGGATTTCAGAGATACACTACAGTTGGCTGTAACAGAGGCTACATTAGGGAATGACGCACAAGCAAAAGTAATGCAGAGAAATCATCAACCCCATAGCCTGAGGACCTCTACATCATTGACGCAAAGACATGGTCGGTGGTGTTTCACGGATGGTTCATAGAAGGAGGGTGAAATTTATTCGAGACAAGGATGGTATAATACATTGGAGGGTTCGAAGGACTCATGGGAGCAAGAAATACTCGTGTGGCTCGTTTCCCTCTACATTCAGAATAGAAGCAGTCATTTGGGCAACAGAAAGAATGAGGAATTTACGTCAA